ATTATATTTCACACACGAATGGTCGATGATTTGGATCAACTCATTACAGAAACGTCTGATGTGTCGCTCTTCTGGTTTGTAATCTCCATATTTAAGCGATTAATTTTAATCTGATTTTTGAATTTTGTAGTTTTTTCAGCAAATTATTTGACGATCAGTTTCATATGTGTCTCGAATTTCCGGCCCAAACCCGATATATCGTTGCATTCCCTCTAATTTGCAGTCATTTCATGAACTGCACGCACGAACTCTGTCCCGAAGAAGTACTTATCAATTATATTATTTATAATTAGATAACAATTTATACCGTAATTTAATCTAATTATCTGACAGCGCCATCATATCGGCGATCGTTCCTTAACAATGGTTAACGGATTCTTGGATGAGATGTCCAAAGAAGCGAAGAATATAATTACAACCATTTGTGACGAACAATGTCTTCTCTCTGATAAGGTTTGTCAAAAGAGTTTGTTTGGATTGAGACTAACTTGAATGTGATTACAGCTGTTGCCCAAACATGTGGTCCCATATTTGGCGCAGATTTTGTCCAAAAAGAAGAGCAATAAAAAGAGTAATAAAGGTTTTCAAGAAGAGGATAAACCGGGATCTGAGAGCTATCGCAGGAGTAGAGAGGAACTGACAACGTATGGCATCACTTTTTTATTGCATTCTTGATAATTAAGTTTCATATGTTTGTTACAATTGTTGGTATAGTATGGATAAACTGCATATGGCTTTGACTGAACTGTGTTTTGCGATCAACTATTGCGGAACAATCCTTGTTTGGGACCACACTTTCGCTCCGAGAGAATACTTAACCCAACACTTGGAAACTCGTTTCAATAAAGCGTTGGTAGGAATGGTTATGTATAACCCGGAGACTAATGAAATCGCAAAGCCCTCTGAGCTATTAGTGTCCGTACGATCCTATATGAATGTATTGCAGAGCATCGAAAACTATGGTAATATTAGTGTCACAAAGTGTGCAAATATAGTATGTTATGGTTTAACTGTTT